TGTGGTGGTGGTGGTGGTGGTGGGGAGTGTTGGCGAAGGCGGCGGTCGTTTTGTCGACACCGGTGTGTTTGTGTTTATTTATTGATTTATTTTTCTCATTTTGCTGACACCGCTGCTCGTTTGATGAGTATTTAACGTTCCACCGCAGTTACGTCAGTACAGGAATAAGTCGCGTAAAAAAAAAAAAAGAAAAAAAGAAAAAGAAACATGTGGTAGAGGATGGAGAGAAGGTTTTTTTAAAGCGAGACGGATACTGGGGGGTAAGACGGAGGTAAAACACGCACACACGCACAGAGAAAGAGAGAAAAAGGGAATAAAACGGCCGAGGGAGGGCAACGAAGAATGGGACGAATGGTGATGCGGAGGAGGAGGAGGATGAGAGGTCATTGTTTTTTTTTTTTTTTTTTTTATTAATTTTAATTTAATTTAATTGAGAATTACCTCTTTTTCTCTCTTTTTCTCTCTTTTTCTCTCTTTTTTTTTCTTTTTTTTTTTTTTTTTTTTTTTTTTTTCGGTTGTTTTTTGTTGTTGAAAGAGGCGTTTCTATGTCTCCTCCTCTTCCTCCATTCTTCAGTCTCATTTGCTCACCTTCTACCTCTGTCCTTTTTTTTTTTTTTTAATTTAAATCTTCTGCTGCGTCTATTGGGGCGGAGAGGGGGGAGGGTGCGTGTATGTTGGTTCTTACATGTGCGCTCTTCCGTATTTTTGACCTTTTCTCTTCTCCTCCCTGCCCTTTTTTCTTTTTTCTTTTTTCCTTTTTTCTTTTGTCGTCGCAGGGGGGAGGGGCAAAATGCATTCGGTGGTTATTTTACCAGAAGGAATAAGAAGAAAAAAGGAAACGGAACCACTTTTTTTCCTCCCACCCTAATCCCTCAAGCAGTAAGCAGAAAATTGCATTAATGTATGCTTTTCTCTGTATGGCCGTTCCCTTTGAATTTTTTTTTTTTTTTTTTTTTTTTTTTGTAGATAACTGCGCCTCACATTGCAATGCACGGCATCTCGTTACCAATGACAGACACGCACTTCAATTGTTGAGGGTATGATTTTATTTGTGTATTTTTTTATTTTTTTATTTTTATTTTTTTTTTTTTTTGGGGGGGGGGGGAGGAGATGGTGGAGGAGGGGAGAGGGGTGGGAGTGTGACGTGGACATTCTGTTTTTTTTTTTGTTTGTTTGTTTGTTTTGTTTTTTTTTGTGCGTTTGCAATAATGTCATCTCTTTTTGTGTATGTGTTTAGTGCATACGCCATTTTATACATGAAAGTTCTTCTTGTGTGTCCCATGTTACATTACGCTTTGCTCTTGAGTCTTGTGTGTGTGTGACTTGCTTTTTTCTCTATCCCGCATGCATGATGTATACAAATGCATACAAATGTGTATGTATTCGTGAAGATGCCTTTAGCTGAACTTATTTACTATCAATATACGCGTGTAATCACATTTTATTGCATACATGCGAATACATCTCTGTATGTGTAACTCTATGTTTATGTTCCTTCTTCCATGTATCCATGTAAGTATTTAAGTAGATATATATATATACATATATATATAGATGTATCTGTGTGTGTGTGTGTGTGTGTGGTTCCTTTGTTTTTTTTTTTTTTTTTGCACCCTTTTTCACATCCCGCTTTCTTTTTTTTTTTTTTTTTTTACATTTTATTTTGAAGTACTGTCGTTTGTTCCCCTTTTCGCTACAAGGCAATACGAGGGGAATTTTGTCATAACACGGGCCGAGGTATACGTGCGTCTCTCGTTTACGCTTGCGTGCATACACTCCGCTGGGATTGGGGGAAGAGAGAATGGCGTGTGTGCATGTACTCGTCGGGCAGTGTGGAAACCAACTTGGAACCCAATTTCTAGACAATCTCGTTGCTGAGGCATACACGAGCGATGAGGATGATGGGTTTGCCGCGCAAGTGTCGTCTCTTCACTTCCGACCATCTCCAGTGTTGCGTGGTAGAGAGTTTAGTCACGGTGCCACAATGCCTCCGTTACCGCGTTGTGTGATGATTGACATGGAGCCCAAAGTGATTGAGGGGATCCTTAAAAACACCAAAAATGGAGGAGCGTACCGGCCGCATGTGCGACAGTGCATTACTCGCGATGAAGGGAGCGCCAATAATTGGGCCTGCGGTTACTTCCAACAGGGCAGCAGCAGGAAAGAAGAGATTCTCGACTCACTTCGCCGCGAGAGCGAGTCATCGGGAACCGTGGGCACATTTCATGTTGTGCACAGCATTGCCGGTGGGACAGGATCTGGGGTTGGTTGTTTGATCGCAGAGGCCATACGGGAGGAGTTTCCCTGTGCGTTGCTTCTGCATTCTGTTGTTTGGCCCTTTTCTACAGGTGAGGT